TTTTTTTCAGGCCATCGTAGAGTACCTCCCTTCACTTCCACAACCCAACATGGGATCCATCACGAGCTTGCAATTTACGAAATTTACATAGGTGGTTGTCATAACCTTGTCATTTAACCATTTTTTGCAGTAAAATATTTGTATCCATTCCATATGGAAGAACCTTGGACCAATCTTGAAAACTAAAGCAACTTTTTGAGCCTTTCCCCTCTAGCCTACAAATCCAATGAAAGCTCTGGATGAGCTCTGTCTACTGCCAAATGGGCAGATGTGAAAACTTAATTCCAGAGTTATAAATTCAACAAAACCTGGCCTGAACTATTTGCTAAAGGGCATAAATGCATTTACAAGGCAGAAAACTAATCTTTTCAAATAAATAAAAAAAAAAACAAACAAAAAAAACAAATTCTATGCTACTATTGGCCAATGCCTTTTCTACTATTGTGCATTCCAAGAGCTGAGTCATAGGTCAAAGGTTAACCTTAAAATATAGATAAGAGAAAGTTAACAATGTAATCAGAAATTAAATAGAGTCTGGATGGTTTGTTTTGTCTGGATCTATATATTCCATAATCTAACATACTCTAAACACTAAATTTTACATCGTAGCTTTATCTCTATTAGTAGTGACAAGTAAGCACGTGTATTTACAGAAAAGTGAGAGGGTCATAGAGAAACACTGGTCTATTACTATTCTAATAAATAGCTATAATATTGCAAATATTATTAGTAAGTCTCGTGCTACGAAAATACCCAGACCAAAGACTGAGGTAACAGAATATTTAGGGGAGGAATGAACTACAGATATTGGTAAAATTGCCTTTGAGTTTGTTTCTGTTTGTGATGGCGTTTTCCATCACTGTGTGACGGAAAAAGAGCTCAAAGAGCTTCGACTAGAAAGGAGCTGTATAAGTATTGTCCATTTACCTTAATGTTATTAATTCCACTTGTTTTTCTATCCAATGATAATGCTGTGATAAGGCCTATTGCTCCTAATGCTGTCACTTTGTAGAGTGGTGCTCACAATACTACAACAGGAAACAGCCTTCATTGACCTTCAACTCAAAGCAAAACACACACACACAAGATTCCTTAAAATAGAACCTTTATTATATAAAAATGCTTTTGATACAAAAAATGTCACAATTGTAAATTACACAAAGCATTTTAAGCTGAGACGACATACAGGGTTTTTAAGGAGTTGTACTGACAGTGGTTTGAGGCGGGGCCTACAGCCCTTAATCTAAATGACTCGTGCTGCTCAGAGTTCCCACTTACACATACAGATGCTACTCCAGCTGTTATCTGTCACCAGACATACTCCAAAAGTGCTTTTAGGAAACTGCAGTGTTCTCTCTAACAGATAAACATCTTCCAGGCTCAATGACCATTACTGTCTGAAGAGACACACTCATTCATTCATGGCTACAGTCTGACCTCTCAAGATCCCCTCCAGACATGTATTGTGACATATATACACAGTCTGTTTGGAACAATAATGTGTGTCTTTAAAATACTAAAATCGAATCTGTGAATATGCAAACGTTTCTAAAGATGTCTCCTACTTCACTGTAAAGTCCATTCTCAGTGGATG